ATTGACACGTGTGACACTCAAAAAGATAGTTGACGAAGGGGATGATCAATCGTTTGATTTCCATCAGGTAAATTAAACTATGCATTAACATGTGTATCGCGCGTTTAAAATTAACCAAGTATTGTAACGACTGTACTTGTCTACTTTAAATAGCTAACTAAGGAATACCCGGAGATATTAACCCCCGATAATATTTGGATAGCTGGAATCGCTCAGGAGCCATCTACTCGGAAATATTATTTAGTTTTCTACCATGAAATACGTCCGATATTGGACAACCTTATACAACGTAAAAAAGATATCAAGCACATGCAGTATAGCGACTTTTACGAACTCAAAGAGATCGGATCTGGTGGTTACGGAACAGTTTATACTGCCAAGTATAAAAAGTATTTCGAAGTCAAGGATATGCCACAAACTGTTGTGCTCAAACGGTTTAAGAGTTTTGATGAAACGCCGGAATTATTTATTTCCGAGGTAAGCAATTATTGGTAGGATTAATTAAAGTGATATTTAATATTAATCTGACTCTAAATTTGTTTTATTTAACAGTTCAGAAATCATGCCAAGTGTGCAAATTATGGATTATTCCTTAAAATTTATGGAGTGACACAAGACCCAGTAACAAAAGAGCACATGATTGTTATGGAATATGCTAACAATGGTAGTCTTTTGTCTTATTTGGACCAAAATATTAACAAATTGACGTGGAGGGATAAATTACGGCGTTTGGATGACATTGCATTTTATCTGAGAAATATTCATGTTATGGGATTAGTGCATTGTGATCTTCATGGCGGAAACATAGTTTTGCATAATAATGAGTATAGTGATAGTATCAGACCATTTATATGCGATCTTGGTCTCTCACGATCAGTGAATTCACGAGAGTCAAATTCAACCATTCGAGGCGTTTTACCTTTTATTGCACCGGAAGTCTTCCATACCTGCAAATTTACTCAGAAATCAGATGTGTATTCTTTTGGTATCATTATGTATTTGATTGCTACTGGTGAACCACCTTTTAGAGATAGGCACTTCGATAGAGATTTAGTATGTGATATTATGGGTGGACTACGACCATCGATGCCCGAGTCCGCTCCAGAGGAATACAAGAAACTTGCCAAGCGGTGTTGTGATGCTAATCCTAACAAGCGTCCAGATGCATATAAACTTTGGAATGATATTGACAATCTTGATGAAAAGGTTGACAAGGACAATTCTGTCAGTAACGCATGGTATACCATCTACCATAACGATGTAAAACCCTTATCACGTCTTGAGAAAGAGAGTAAATATTCTAGTACGCTCTTACCTACCGGAGATCTGCCTAAACCAAAAAATAGCTATGATTTGGACTCAGCTGCAGGTATGGTTACATGTTGATACAAATGAAGTCAGTTTACAATGTTAACACCATCCATTTCTTATAATTTAGAAACTCGAACTCTTTTTTGACATGGGTTATTTACAGTTTATACGAGTTTTATTCAATGGTTTATTCCTCTTCCAATTATACAATATGCTTCCACGTATGTCAATATGTTTGAGTTAAATAAAATCGTGCATGTTTACGCTTTGCCGGGGTAGATCATTTGAATATATAGTAATAGAGTACATTATTATTAAAAATAGAACCAATTATCGAAACTAGATCGTTGAAATGTTAAACCATCCAGATAGCTTGGCTGCAAATGAATATTAATATGTGAATGTGAGCATCGGACAACTGTCATTTTCGAAAGAGTAAGCTTCAAATTAAAATTTAAAATTTGATAGATTGATATAATCTTAAGTAGCAGTAAAACACTTAACTATCCAATATACGTTGCAACCATAGGCAACATGGCTCGATCCATTCAGTTGTGCGGCAGTCCGTAATAGTAAACTATCCGAAAGCCGACCGCTCGTTTTTCTAGATAAACCTTTTGAATAGTATAAATGTCAGAATTTTGGAGTAAGTCCTATTGGTTACATTGACAGTAAAGGTAATATTGAATATAGAAACAGGTGATGCAGTATAAGAATTTATATTGAAACAGTAGTTCATTCCCGCAACACTACGCACCGCAATAGTAATAGTGCATTCACAACGGAAATTTTATCACGTAACTCTAATCTTGAACATGTGATCGTATAATAATAAGAAAACTGTTGGCTGATAAATTCAAATTACAATGGTTAATTTACCAAAGGAACAGAGTTTAGCTTTCATCTCTTTCTACATGTCTTTTATTAAAGGAGAATTTGGTTTTTATTATTATGAAACCGCAGCAAGTTTTTCACTCATAATATCAACCTGCTTTCTGGCCTTCTGCAGTGTAATTTTGATTTAGACTTGTCAACATTCATCCAGGCCGCTATTAATTACAGGTTTTACCTGCCATGATTGGTTGGTATGCAATCATTATTTAGATGGAATTTTTACATGTCGATCATTGTCGATTTTATTACCGCAGACACCTCCTGAGTGCTTAAGCTTGCCACAAAAATGTCCTCGACCACTACAGTAGGCCGCATTATTTGCTTTATTGGCTTCATTTTCTTGGCGCACGCATCGTACTCAACATATGAACGTATGTCAAGCTTTCCTTCATGCTCGCTTTCCATAATTACCGCTAACACTACTGTTCAATGACTAGATTTATCCTATCTAAAAGCAGTGGAGAGAGTAGAGCGTGAACTTCCATTAGATGTTTGTATATCGGATTGGGGTTTCCTAGTTCCTAAGCTTTCATTCCCTAACTATTTACATTGATTGCCCCATAGATCAAGCTAGAAACATTGTCTTCGGTCGCCATATTCTCACTAGGAGTTGCCCTTGTTGCTGGATCGTTGAAAGAGATTTATGTAAAGAGCGAGATGGCAAAAAAGTACTATTACAAATACATTTTTGTTAGTTTAATTGAATTGCATTCGTTAGATAACGACATCTTTTCTTTTACATAGGACAATCGACCTGGTTGACACAAGACCATCGTTCATCATTTTCAATCACCGTGGGCGAGTAGTGAAGAAACAGTAAAGAATAAACTGCGAAAAAGAGCCATAGATTCAACTTTTGCACTTGCTCCGAACAATTTCATCGTAAGCTCACCGGTCGACATTGCAAATTGCTCTGCCCAGTTTTACGTTTTTTGCTCATGGATAAATCTCGATCCTGACTCTTACACATATATCTGTACCAGATACCTTGCATTACCATTATGAGTCAGTTTCATGACCATCTGTTATAGTCTTTACCGTCTCGTCTACTTTAGCATCCTATCAGAAGTGTCAATTTCTCACCGAGACTGCGGATTGATTAACGAACTCTAATCTGAGAGTATTTATTCGACGAGATGGCACGTCAAGGAGAATACACCAATATTATGAGACATTAGAAATAGATGATAAGCGCATCGAAGCCCAAAGTATGGAAGTTAAGTCGGCTGTATATATGTAATTTTTTTCCGGATAATATCCACGAATAGGAAATGCCTTTATATGCTCTATCCGAAGCTCAGTCATTACTACCTTCTCCCCTCCAGTTAACAAGAATGTTTTGTTTTTTTTTTATTTCGGCCCAAATATATCAATGTTTTTGTTGTCGGGAACACGAATATCTTATAGTCACTACGGCCCATTGACAAGGAATCCATAGATGCGTAAAACATAATATGGGATATTATTTATATATTCATCTGTCTCTTCTATATCCATAGGCAATCTTCAGTGATTAATGCTCGTTTGTTGATCCATAATCATGTAATTTCCACTTTCTGGAATCTGTGATTGAGGAAAAGCGCTGGACCCCCGGCCCCTTTGCTTTCTGACTCTACGAAATTTCCGGGCTCTCTGGTCGAGAAAGTGGTACCCCGTCTCTGCTAGTGCGTGATCAATGTTCTCTTGAAAATTTTGATTATCCATGATAGGTTCCTCGAATGATATGATATTGGTTGGAGAAAGTTTAAATGAAAATTATTTATTTTAGGTAATTAGTGTTAGATATACAGTAACGTGCAAAAGTATCCTACCGGTTGTATCATCTAAACGTACATAATAATAACTCCTTAAATTTTCC